TTTTAGATAAAACGACAGCTACTGGTCGTGATCCTGGAGACGTGGCTCTGGCTGTTCTCAGGGCTGTCCGTCAGAGGAGCAAAGATGTTGTTTTAGCAGAACCTCTACCCACATTGGCCGTCTACCTAAGGACACTGTGGCCCACACTCTTCTTCAGACTTATGGCCTCAAGAGCTCATAAGGAGCAGAAACGGAAGGAGGAATAATACCGCCAAAGGCAAAGACTGGTGACTAACAGAATATCAGCGGGATGGACTTAAAGCAGTGAATGTAAGTGAGCTGACAGAACACTGTTCACGGTGAATCTGAAGTATTCATGAAACCTTTTGTTGTCCAGCGCAGAGGATGCTGTAATTATAAATATTCCTGGACTGATTCAGGAGTTTACCTCATCTATAAACCGGTTCTAAAAAGTAACCAGAAATGGAAAAAATAACTACTGAGTTGAAACTTCTGTAGAATATTTTTTTTAATATAATTTACTGTACCTATAATTCAAAATACCCAAGCTGTTTTTGTTTGTAATTTTAAATAATTCAATATTTGGAATAATTCTGTCTTTTCCATTTTAAACAAAAGTACCGAACATGGAGAAGCTAGACAAAACCAAACTCCTTACTGTACTCTAAGCCTGTTGTGAATTAAAAATGAATGCGAGCAAAATGCCTCACCTCTCAATTTTCATCTAACGGACCAGTGATAGTTAAAAGCATTAGCAAAACAATAACTAAGCTAAAGCAGAAAACATTTTTTTAGACTGGACCATCAATGGCTACATTTAACACAGAAAACACACCACTCTGTTTTATATCTATCTTTATACAGAGAGTAAAAGCATCTTTTACAAACTCAACATTTTAAACAACAGGTTTTTCCTTTTTTTTAAAGATGTCATCTTATTAAGTTAAACAAAACATTTTCAGAAACATTACCAATAAATAGTCCAAATAAATTTACATCATCATACAAAAGCGCAGTGAATACTGGAATTGCCATTTGTACAAATAAACTCTTAAAATCAGAACAAAAACATAATAACTTTTTCAAAGACAAAACCTGCTGTTTATCCCTCATGTAGAATCCTTCTCAGTGTTAAAATGTTATTAGTGTGAGAAGAAGAACATCAGAGTCAACGTCTCTGATGCCTACGCTTAGAGATGAAGGTGTTAATGAGGCAACATGTTTACAATACTGCATGTAAATGATGCTGGTTACATTGAAATCCATAGAACCTGATGTGGTGTCTCTATGTGTGGAGTAAATCTGTGTGATTGCAGACTGAGGTTAGATGAAATTTTTGGGATGCCACTTGTGTTGACTGTTAGCCAGTGTTCAGCATCACTTAACTGATCTCAGCATCCATAACTGGCCAGCATGACCCTAACATATCCTGCACATATGGGCCGTTTAAAGGTTTGGACTGTAAACACACCTTGGTGGAGTGTCGGCTATGGCTTAGTGTTGGATTCTATGATGCAGCTCTTGCTGCCTGCACTTGTGGAGTTTAACTGGAGTGTAATGTTAACAGTAACTGGAGGTATTCCCATAATTTCTGTTCAAAATAAACTGGATTTAAAATAATTAAACTGAAAACATTGTTGATCACATTATGGGGGAGAGAAAAAAAAAAAAAGAATAAACCAAAAACATCCAAGCTCAAACCAAATACTGCATGTAAACTGGAAGCAGCTACAGATGCACATTTAAAACTATAATAAACATGTGCATGGCAATTGAATGGCCTCAATTTCTACTTTTAAGTCTTAAAAGCATGAGGCCAACTTTGTAAATTACGACCCTATTAGGAGGTCAATGGACATTAAAGCACAACTGGAGTCAGTCGCCATGACTGTTTTCACAATATACAGCTCCTCCATTGGAACTACTTCCCTCGTGCTTCTTTAGCTTCACTTAGCAACTAATCACTTCAGCCGTTTTGTAAAACAGTGTAATCACAACAAGAAACCAACCTATGTGCAGTTTCAGTTCAGTCAAGTGATGGACTCTAATCTTCGGCACAAATATCCAAACCTGCAGCTGCACACCATCACATGTAGTCACCAAACAAGCTGCTGTTTCGCATGTGGCTGTAATACAATCACAAACCCAGATCCTGGACGGAATATTGTGGCAACTTAACTGCTAAATACCCGAATTGACTGGGGTAAAAAGTACAAAAGACAGAAAATAGAAGCAGAGGATTTTGAAAAACTCTGCACTTCTTATTGTGTATGGTGTTGCACTCCACATAAGTCAGTGACAAAGGGATTTCTGTTTAAAAAAAGCTTGTAGTCAGCACTCAGTCCTAGTCCTTACCTAGCAGCTGTTTGCTACCAACTGGTAGCTAAACTGCACATTTTGGGGGGATTTACACATTTTTGGGCATCAAGCTGAGAGAAAGAGGGCAGACACACAAACCCACTCATGAGCGCATGTGCACACAGGAAAAACATTTTTGTTCAGATATGGCATTGTGTGTGTTTTGCTGTACATGAGGTTGTGTTTTGCACTTTTTTTTCCTAAAGTGTTTGTTTTTAAAGGGCATTTCACCTTAAAGAAAAATTTGGTGACACCAATGCATTTAAACTCTTTATACAAAGGTAAAAGTTCCTCCTCTTCATTATCGTCATCATTATTATTATAATTATTATTGCACTTAAACAAACAGAGCAGGGATGGCTTTTAGGGATGGTTTGTCTCCACAACTGTCCTGTCATAAGAAGTGATGCTACAGCGAGCTGCCGGTCCTGGTCTTTCTAGCTACTGAGCATCTTCCAGGGGAATTGTTTCTCGTTTACCTCATGGTGGCGTAATTGAGGGCTCGGTCACAGCCAGCTCCTGGGCCAGGTCGTTAAAGCGAGCAATGTAGTCCACACTGCTCTCACTCATCATACAAGCAAGCTGAGAGTCCATCTGCAAACCCAACAACAGAACAATTTAACTGCTTAGAGGGATTAACAGATAAGATGCTGGAGAATCTGGACCATTTACATCAAGCAAGAAGAAATAAATGAACTTACCACATCAGGCAGGCCCCTGGACTGAAAGGAGTCATGGGAGTTGCAGTCCAGGAGGCTAGGACCGAGCAAAGCTGTACCACTCGAGGGGCCAGAGGGGGTCAGGCTGGTCCTCCTCCCCTTATCAGGAGACACCATGCTGGCTGCAACGTCAGAAGAGAAAGTGAATCAATTAACTGAGGTCACTGCACACATGAATTAGACCTAAAGGACATCAAGGTAAGTAAGAAGCAGCTGTCTTTGTTAATGTGGTTAATAGCAGTAAAGAAAAATTAGTTCCATGTCCCTTGGTATAGTCTATCATATCTTTCATATCTGCTAGTCATGTCAAAAATATTGAGTACAAAATGAAATTATTTAAATGTACGAAACCGAAAGAGAGACTCACACAGAAGGCATCCGAGAGTGGAGTCAGAGGAGTCACTGGGATACCACTGGGGGTCGTGGCTGGGTGATGGGATCCATCCTCGGGACGGGCTGACGGAGGGGGACGAGGCCAACAGTTTGGTGCTGTCATTGTTGCTCAGTTTGGCTGGAGACAGAGCTGCTTCCTCACCTGCAGCAGGTAAGACAAACGACTGTTACTTTACACATGACAGGGCTGTTGCACTGAGACAAAAATCTATGCAATACAAATAAGAACAAGAGCATGCACACACACACACACACACACACACACACACACCGTAGTGGGCAGAGTTAATGGCGAGCTCGATGATGGAATCACTGATGTGTGTCTGAGGTTCTCCAGGGGTCAGCGGCTCCTCAGGGGGACCAGGTAAAGAGATGTCCAGGAGTGAGGCTACACTAGGTGGAGACAGGAGTGAGTCTCCACCTCCTGATGCTCCAGGAGACGGTGGAGGCAAACCATTCTGTAGAGAAAACAGGTAACAAACTTTGTTGGAATGATACATTGTTAAACTGCATGTTTATTAGCGTTCATGGCAAAATAGATTATTATAATAGATATGTAAAGGCAGCGTAACACATAGAAGATGTGTATTTTGTCATACGTATCCTGCACTGCCCAATAATAGAAAAGTGGAACTTCATTTAAAAAGTATGTGACCCAGAGGTCAAGTAGCCTCTGTGTCAATATTTTCAAATGGTGTCAATGCATGCATTGACTTTTGGCTTTTCAATTACTGATAGCAACAAGTTACAACTCCACAATGTCTGCGTTCCTGACCTGCGGGACATTTTGCTGGAGTAGTGTAGAGTCTGGTTCGACATCAGGAGAAGGTGAGGTGTTGAGTGGATCGCTGTTTTCCGTAGTAGAAGGATCAAGACTTGGACAGGGGCTGCCAGGAATGATGCCGGCAGACTTGGCTGCCAGGTCAATGGCACCTGAGAGAAAGACAAACAATTTAAAATGTCCCCAAGACCCGTGAAGACGACAGAAATGGAGAAGTAAACAATGTGATTTAATTAATTTGGGCTATTTTTAAGACATCATTTGAAAGATATCAATTAACCTGAAAAACAGTAATTATAAATTATAAAGTATTATAAATTACTAAAGAATTATTGAAACATACTGGAGAGCTGGCTGGCTGCTGCAGACCCGGTTGCTGCAGTGGAAACTTTGGACATGAGGGGACGGGCAGAAGGAGGCAGTCGAGTGTGGATCGGTCGGAATGATCCAGTTCCTAAAGAAAGAAATGGGAAGTGAGTGAACACCAAGTGTGGGTTTTGTTGACTCACTCAAGGAGAAATTATATGTAAACAGAACAATTTTGAACGTATTTACAATGTAAACACAACCACAAGGTAATTTGTGGAATTTCACAGTTGACAGATGTACCTGTGACAGAGGAGTTGGAGAGGATGGAGAAGGAGCAGACGTGGGATGTGTCTCCTGTAGTTCGGGGCAGTAGAGTCCGCTGTGTAGAAGAAGGAAGACCTTTATTTTAAACCACATACACCGTAACATGTAGGAGGATGTGGGCAGAGTAAAGAAGTAAAAATAAATAAATAAAGGAACATATATTTGCTTAAAACCAACAAATTACAGACAGACCTGCTCCATCCTTCTATTACCTGAACTACAAGAGGTTTGCGAAGTTGCCTGTTCCGAGGTTTTCTCTGTCTGAAGAGATCTGACTGCATCTGTGAGAAAAATGCATCTTAACATTTGTGCACACTCATCCTGTTAAGACACACAATCATTCATTGTGTTTTGTAAATTAATAAACCATGTCTGGGTGTGTCTTACGCTGATAGAGTCCAGCTGCTGCCTTAAGGCCAGTTCAGCATCTTTGTTAGGGGAGAACATTCTGTTGTGCCGTAGACTGTTGGGGGGCAGCGTGGTAGGGACTGCAAACACACCACCCTCTGTGTCACTGGCTACAGCCGACCCCAACAGTGACCGAGGAAGGTTACGGCCTCCTGAAAAAGAGAGGTAATTGGGCTACTTTCAGACATATTTGACAATGTAAAATGTTAAATTAGTCTTAATTTGGTGTTTTGCTAAGGATGAAGAAAACAATCTTGAAGAAAACAATCTTGTTTTCCAGGACAAAAACTAATCTAGGACTTATTGACAATGATGACATTTAACAATACACTCATCCAAATAAATAAATAAATAAATAAATAAATAAATAAATAAATAAATAAATAAATAAATAAATAAATAAATAAATAAATAAATAAATAAATAAATAAATAAATAAATAAATAAATAAATAAATAAATAAATAAATAAATAAATAAATAAATAAATAAATAAATAAATAAATAAATAAATAAATAAATAAATAAATAAATAAATAAATAAATAAATAAATAAATAAATAAATAAATAAATAAATAAATAAATAAATAAATAAATAAATAAATAAATAAATAAAATTAATCTAACAGGAAGGAAGACTGATCTAATTCTGATATTCCGTCCATTAAAACATAACAAAATTAAAACAGTTCCAGTGACTAAAGTGGAACGTAGACTAAGTTACAATTTAGCAAAGACTAGGGACTAAGTTCAAATTGGCTTGCTGTGTGAGAAAGTAATGGAGAGATCCGCAGATACCCGAGGCTCCAGTGTTGCCCAGGTTTGACCTGGCTCCGCGGACGGACGCCTGCTGCCGACCAAAGCTGGGGCTGCGAACCCCTGGGATAAGTCCTTTTCCAGGAGGTGTGACAGCCATGTTCTGCTCCTCCTGATTGTTCTTAAGTGGTGATGTTGCCGTGGAGCACAGCTCAGGTGTCTGGAGGAGATGACATATTTAATTTTAAGTTACTTAGCTCTAAACTTATTAAATGCCATCATGCAGATCCATGACAATGTGAGAATACCAGTAAAAGTTAATCCCTACCAAAGGTTTAGGATTGACTTCAGTCGTAACCAGCTTAAGCAGGCAGCGCAAAACAGGGTGCGTCCTGTGGGGCTTGGCTTCAGCTGAAGCTTGTCCGTTTTCCTGGTGGTTTGATGGAGCTGCCACAGGCTGCCACTCGTATTCCAGCTGCAGCTTCTCAGGCTTTCCAGACATCAGGTAAAGCTCAGCCAGAGTGACGTTCTCCCCCTCACGGGCACTCCAGCCTTCTTCTCTGATGTGCTCAACAGTCCGCTCTTTGGTCAAAGACATGGAGCTCTGCAAAACTCCATCCTCTGAGAGAGTCATCAGAGGTTTGGATGGAGGAGTCTGGTTGGTGTCTGGTGAGGGGACTGCGTTCTGCTCCTGTTTGCACTCCTCAACTGATGTGTTTTCTACACTGCTACATAACCTTTCTGTGCTTTTAACCCCAGATAGTCCAAGACTGGGCTCAGCATGAATACAAGTGTCACCTTCATCAGAGAGTCCAAGGCCAGGTCCCTCTTCTCTAGGTGCCAAAGCATGCACAGAGGAGGGGGCAACAGGAACTGACAGGAGTCTTTTCTCCTCTGATTTTACAGAACTCTCAGGTGAGGTTTCAAGGATAAGGTGCTCACTTTGACGCACCTCACCTAATACAGTCACCGAAGCACCGGTCCCACCACTACAACCAGCAGGAGTAGTAGACCCTCCGCGTCCAGATTTGGTGCCACTCCGTGCTTGTGCACCTGTGTGGATGCCCAGGATCTGAGCAGCTGGCAGTTCCTTGGCATTCGGCCGGGTCTTGCCACTCTCTAGCCAGTGTACAGTGCAAGAGGCCTTGGAGTGAACCACACGTGCCACACCGGGCAGCATAGTCAACACGCTGCTCTCAGCAGGGAAGAGAAAGAGTTCATCTGGTTGGGATTTGCTTGGCGAGGTGGTGCTGAACTGGCTGCCCTCCAACGCCTCTCGCTCCATCAGACTCTTAAGCTGAATTGTCAGCGTTAAGGAACTGACGTGTCTTCTTAAAGTTACACAACAAACAGGATTACATTCATACTTAATCTGGTGCAACCTTGTATGTAATATTAATGTTGTTGCTTAAAACAATATGGACAATTTATTAATACAGTTTAAAAGGTGATCAAGGATACAATGCGCTGATCCTGATAGGCCCACTTCTGCTTCAGATAATCGATCAGGCTGGAAACTTTTCTGTGCAGCTCCACCACCATCCTGTGTGGGAAAAAATAAAATATATATATATATACACACACACATACATACATACAATTAGCTGGACACTGACAGAAACTAAGAAAAAAAAGTATTACATTTCTTAAAATTATCTATACATTATAGTCATATGAAATTTAAATACATTCATGATGTAATAACAGCTCTGTGTTTGGTATATAAATGTAAAAAGTATGACTCAATAGTGAAGTGTCAGTGGTTTCTGGAATGTAGCAAGGAGGTGATCTTTACAACATCTAAATACCAGTATGACAACATTGGTCAAGAGCCTGACCTGAGGCGGGGATTGTGGGCGAGACTCTGGACACGAATCCAGGAGTGATTACTGCGTGGTTGGAGTTCCACTGCCACCTTCAGGGGTAGGCGTACAGGCTTCTGGTCCTCTTCATCACTCACTCCTGTGTGGACAAAACACACATTTTGTTATATACATGGAACACGCAGGTTATACAAGTTGAGAATTTCAATGTTTGATATAATTTCCCCTTATTGTTGCACAGATTTGAATGACATATTTTCAAATTTTACATGTTTTGTTCACAGCTATAAAAATATCAAGAACACCGGCTGTGTGAGACTGATGATGAGGTGAGGTTTTTTTTTTTTTTAAATGTCACATGTAACTTCAATCAGAGGTATTTCTTCAAGTATAGATAATGATAAAGAATAGGTTGAACGTCTGCCGTTCGGAAGTCGTCGTCCCTGGCAAGTTCCAATTCCTCCTCCTGTATGTGTCTCTATGGTAACGCCATGAGCTCTCACTGCTATTGTTTTGGCTGATGAAAAAAAATCCTGCCCCCACAAATGTTCCTCATCATCATCACCACAGATTGTGTACAGCAGTGATTTCTTTGTTGTTGTGGTCGTGTGTATGTGTGTATATTTCTCACCGTCTGGGTCACAAAGTTTCTTCAGTGCACGGCACATAGGCGCTTTGATTCTCAAGTTCCTTCCTTTAGAGCGTACAGTGGTGGCCCTTGGCAAAATCAACAGAAGATTGTTTTTGGGAGACAATATTTCATAATCATGTTTTCTGTAATCTTAAAATTGCAGATCATTAGTTAAAATTTTAAAGTTCACACTGAGAGTTTGATGCATTTCATCCCTTTTATAGCTACTGACTTACCCTTGCTGGATTAGTTCATTTAGCTTCGCCACATTTTTGTCATCCATTACTGTCAAAGAAAAAACACAAAGCCAGGAGATGATTACGAAATCTTCCCACAGGAGCATCTGTGCCCTAAGACCAGCAGGCAACATTTAATCACATCCCACGAGTCACGAACCAACTGCAGGAAAACACTCAACACATAAACAACATAAAAAAGGGAATCACAGATACACGAGTGTGAGCTGCGTTCACTTACATCCTCCAATTTTTTTGCGTAGCTCTGCATAGCAGATAAGACCATAGAGTTCTTGAGAGGATTTCTTTAGCACTCGAGAGTAGACTAAGAAGGAAAAGAAGACACAACTTCATTAGCAGCAATTAAACAGGAACGTGTATGTAACATTAAGACAAGAGTGGATTTATTAGGGAAAGTCATAGTTGGTGAGGTTCTTTAACATAACATTTGTCTACCTGTAGAACAAGCTAATCAGTGTACATTAAACGCAGTGTCTGTAAGTTATGCATTTCTTTCTGTCCATAGTCATTTCAATTCCGATGCTCATTTTTAATGTTTGATCACAACAGAACAAGGAAGACAAGTCAGCATGTCTAAAGTTGTTTAAAAATAAAGATAATGCATAGAGTGAAACTGCTGAAGATGAACAGAATTGTAACTACTGTTCCACTGAGCTTTTGTAAACTAACATATGTTTCTGTTGGGAGGAAAAGGACAGACTGAGCTCACCGTTGGCGAAGTCAATGTGTTTGGAGATCTTGTGCCAGGTGCGGTAGTAAAAGTGTCGGACTTGCTCCTTGTTCTTAACCATGTTTGCTGGCTTGCCTCTTTTCTTGTACTTCATTGCTATGTTGTTCTGTATAGCTTCAAAATCCTTCCCATGCTGAAAAAAGGAGAATACAATTAGGAATAAGAATTTTTGTCTGGTTTCATGAACTGTACTGTAGAACTGTGGAGTAGGGACTACTGGAATCAAGTCTTTACCTCATAGAGACCTTCAAAGAAGCTGTTTTTGTCTTCTGCACTCCAAGACTCCCATTGTCGACGGGCTCGTTTCTGATTACCAGCCTGCTCCTCTTTCTCAGTAGCCCCTTGGCCCCTAGATGACTTGGATACTCCCCCCGTGGAGCCTGCCAGGGGCCCTGACTGCCCCACTGTCCCATGAGATGAAGATCCATTCTCGGTACCTGTGGTACACAGTGTCCAAAAGCCCATAAAGTCATTAGTATTTCAAACAGTGCAAAAACTCAAGTTACAAATACAGTATGATCATGAGAACTATAGGGATTGAGCCAACGGTTTTAGTCTAGGGACTACTGTGGATTTGTTAACAGTGAGTAATAAAGTACAACTGCAGTTTTGAGCTGTGGAAGACATAAAATGTATCCGCACCGCCATTACAGACCAAAACCCTCAGAGCTGGGTTCTCTGAGGTTAAGAATTGGCAAGAAGACAAGACAATCAACCGTTCCCTGTACAATACACAAGTCTAAAACTAACTGGTGGTGGGCTTCAATAGCCAAGTATATCACACAACACAATGACGGGAGGCACTCGGAGTTTTGCTGATTCAGCACTGCTCTGTTGAGGCAACACTCTTTTCACTTTACACATTGTGGTCACCTATGAATGCAAATGTGTGTGTGAGTGTTTCAAGGACGCTAACCTAGATCCATCAAAATAGATGTGTACACATATAGCATTGCCCTGAAATAAGTGGGGCTTCTCTGGTTGACTGATCAACACATGGGCTGCCTGAACGTTCTTCATGAGACAACCCTGCTCTTGTTCTCTGAAATATCTGAAATACAGATATACTCTAAATATTTCCTTCATAATGCAAATTGGTTGTTATGTGTAAGTAATAAAATATTTTTATTTCTAAAATACCATGCACAGGAGAAGAATTGAATGGACTAAACTGCCAGGCTACAATATCGATGGTTAAGGCAGTGCAATTCAGGTACGTTCCCTTTTCTTTACTAAAGACAACTAATGACACAATGACAATCACAGTTTTACTGCAATCCTGACAACTCAATATTGGATATGGTGAGATCTGCATCATCATATTGAAAATGCTGCCCTTGATTAAACTGTAAGTTTCCAAAATATTATATTTATTTTGTTTTTCAATTGGGTCACGTCCTAACTGATTAATTTCCTTATTTGTACCCTGGTAACAAACGTTGTTGGTGTAAATGTGGTCGGAGCAGCAGGAGATAAAATATCCTCAGACAACCTCCTCACCGGAGTCTCTAAGGAACCAGACAGCAACAACAACAGCAGCATCGTTTTAGTCAGCACACATCCATTAAGTGTAAACACAGTGACACAGGGGCACGAACTGAAAACAGACCCTTCTGTGATCCCAGCTCAACATATTTTGTTAACTTAATCATGCACATCACCTACTGTACCTTTCGATTTTGCCCCGCCATGTCCATTGATGGCTGATCCGATTGAATCCTTCCGGATGCGTTTGCTCGGAGGACGAACGCTCGACCGGAGAAAATGATGCTGGTCATGGCACTGAGGTGTGGACTCCGGGGCTGTGTGGGTCGAGCTCAGCCCGGTTTGGTTCGGCGGAGAAGCGGACAAGAGTGGAGCTGAAACCGGACTGAGAGCTGTGGCTGATGGATTAAGAATTTCCACTCCGTCGTCTCCCTTTGTACTGTGCTCCTCCGTCGCCTGCTCTCCGCTCTCCTCTTCGTCGCAACCGTCGGCCTTTCTGGACGAATTCCTCCCCCCATCGACACCGATCCCCTCCCTGGATCCCGGTGTCATGCTGCCGAAACACAATCAGGCATATTTAATCAGAGTGGGAACAAAGTGATGTGAAAAATTAACTTCTAAAGACGACGTTCACTATCTCTCAACATGGCCGCCGCTGTTTGTTTCAAATCCCCTCTCCAGTCCCGACAAAACAACCCCAAATATATGCAATTAACCTCCTGCTATAAATTATGTCTAGCCTAACAAATAGTTTACCAACAGACTCTAGTATCCCAACATGTGTCTTTGGGCTCTAATGTGAAATATTTTCTGTCAAATTTCCACTAAATTCAAATGCGAGCGCTTTTCACTTTAGCGCCCTGCAGAAACGACAACGGAGAGCCCTCGTTGCATTTGTCCTCTAAATAAAGTGATAATTTCTCATTTTATTTTACCCATTTTCGCACTCTTCCGTGGTGGACGAAGTCTTCTTTCTCTTTACCATGGATCCGGTCGGTTCAGTGGGTAATTAGTGGTGAAAGTGGGCATAATAAAAAGCGACGGTGATCGCTCCGCTTTCTGCCCTCTCTCCTTGCTCCAGCTTCGACTGAGCTCAACTCTCTCTGCGCAGTTCAACTGTCTTCTATCTGCATCTACATTACTCAATGCCTTCTTTGCAACAATAAAATTTAAAACTAAGAAACCTGCTGAAAACGGAGGCAACTGACCACAGGAAAGCACTCCACATTTACTATTGAACACGCCAGTAGAACTCCTTTGAAATCATTACAAAAAACAGTTTTATAAACGCGTGTATGCGAGCGGACTTTGCTTGTCACTACGTCACCGTCGCCTGCAGACATTATTTCTCCAAAAATAATGGCATTATTTCACATGCTTTACCTGAAATACTTTAGAATACTAGTCTTCATTTATTAACAATATCAATATATAATAATAATAACTAATAATCATGCATTCGAATAAATGGTTGTGCCGAAAGTGGTCAGTGTACAGCAGAAGGTGATGCGTTTTATTTATAACAACTGTGTGTTAATATTAGTCTTTATCCACGAAATTTAGGCCAAGCTTTCAACCAATGTGTATTTTCAGTAATCAAAATGAGTACTTAATGGTCGATTGCAAAAGAAAGAAAGAAAACTTACACAAACATAAACCTTTCAGTTTAAGGACGTATATCATTCTGCAGATGCCTTCAAATCATAGAATCAAAGCATCCAAATGCTAATGCAAAACTTTAAAAGACGTCCATCATCTGTGATATTTAGGCTCAATTCTACTTTATTAGTTAATGTCAACAGTTATACAAACATATATTCGGTCCTAAACGTCTTAGAGATGTGAAGATAGTATTGGTCAGTACTGATGTATTCTAAAAATGTATAGCTCAACCGCGAGTCACATTATTGCATCGGTTTACGACAACCTTTTCTAATCAATTTATATCAATATAATATCAAAAAATGCTGAAATCTCAGTCACATACAATATTCATTATGACATTTTGACTGATAAAAGTGCTAAGTGGCTTCAGTGTAGTTTTGGTCCGGAAATATGTCACTGGTTTACAGATGCATTGCAAGAAACATTGTATGTTACTTATACAAAAAACTTGGTATTATGTTGCTAGAGAGATGTTGATTTAATTTAGTAAAGAGTCCTGCCCATTCAAACACACATCGGTACTAGCATGGCTGTTATTAGGAGGCTAACGTTGACGCTAAGACAGTGAGACGAAGTTAAATGGTAAAAACGCCAAAGACATTACATTATTGAATAAACAGTTTCACTGACATTGTAAATTATTGAAATAATTCCAATGCTGTAAATTACCTGAAGCAAAGGCCTGTCGTTGGTGGTATTCCCACTCAACAAAACAGCTAGCATTACTAGCTGACGGGAGTCCCACGCTTCGTATAGATGACAGTTCCTGCACAGACACGGTCCACGCGTTTGTACACGCCCACTGGTAGTCAAAACAAAGATGTCTATTGGTTTAAAAATGAACAAGGAGGGGTGTTTAGTTGTGATGGACAGAAATCTCTGCCAATTGTGATAAAAACAAATGCAAACGGAGGACCAATTGTCATTATTTCCTGTGGTCTAATTCAGATTTTTGTTCATATTTTTTTTCAAGTTAGAAATCTATTTGAACCCATCATTGCCTGGCTGTGGGTTTAAGTAGGTCTGTGTTTTTTTAAATGAGAATAGACCGGTACAATGTAGTTCAATAGCGCCTTGAAGAGTAATCCCACCCATAAAAAGATTGTCGTTTTCATCGGCGAACCAAAATTTAGAAGTAAGAGGATGCGTTTGGCATCTTTTGGGGCGTATGCCGAAACCTCTCGACTAAATATAACCAAATCTATATCCATGGCAAACAGGAAATAGTTTAAGTTCCGCTGTCAGTTCTACATTATTGTTTAAATACAATACAAGTACAATAATTACATTTGATGCTTACATTTATTCTGCCGTATAAAGCAAACCTTACGTTTTAAAAATATAAGCTTCCTTGACCTAATAGCTAATTGTACAACCCTTCTAGGATCAACATTTAATTAGATGTGGTGTTCATCAATTTAAAAAAGCTAGTTAAAGAGAAACCCTTTGATTTGATCACTTAAAACTGGCCGTACCGAGGAAAACTTTTAAATAACTTCTTTAGAATTACACAATCGTCTTGTTCTACGTTGGGACATCGTGTTTCGTAAATCGAACGCATCATGTCACTCAACAGATTGGCTCAGCACCAATGATGTTCCTAAGAGTGTGTCAGAGGGCGGGGACAAATTCCAGACTACACTGCGCAGCTGGGTAAGCGCAGGCGGCAGGAACCCGCTGCTCGTACAGTTGGCAAACTGACCAAGTTGTCTTTGAAAACTTAAAGGCTCACAACATACTCACAATGACTTCGACGAACACGTTCCAAGGGCTGGAATCTGGCTCCAAACCGAGTTCAAGGTGAAGAATTTACGACAATTTGTTGTGGCGCAGCTTGATTATTTGTCAGGAATGTGGAGCAGGCTGCTTTATTAGTGCTGAAGGCAGCCTCTCCGTCAGCTAGTTTCTCTGTGTAGGTTAGCGTTACATGACAGCTCTTCTCATGATTTAACACCACATTTCATCCAGTCATTCTATATGAACTTTGCTCTTAGTGATGCTGTAGTCACGATATGTTCGTCTGTTTATTTGTCATACTAGGCCGCTAAAACCAACTGAGCGGGGCGCCCGTTTTATTAGCAAACTCAAATTAGCCCTTGAGCTAACAGTGCAGGCGTTGTCTGCGGAAGTGCGAAATCCTCTCCCACTGCGACTCTTTGTACTCTCCAATAACGCCGCTGTGACCACATTGTCTCATCTTAGCGTGGTTCAATTTCCTCTTTCTAATTTTCTAATTTTACCTTAACTAGACTTAACATCCGAGTTAATGTGTGTTGTGGTTTTTAAGTTGCGTCTGAAACTATAGCTTAAGGAGTTTTCAGACGTATGGCGCCATCCCCGGGGTATAATCAGAAATCCTGTTATTACGCTGTGTCACAGGCTTAAGCCAATATACTTACAGCCAGGTAATCCAGTGCTTTTTTTAAGTAAAAAAAATCCTCTGTCGTATTTCATGAGTCACAGTAGGTGGCAGTGATGAAACCTATTCGATGCAGAGTTGCCTTTAAAACTCTAAAGAGAGAAACACAATAAAATGACTTACCAAAATCTCTTCAGTTTATGCAAACCACGGAGGGTATATAAATGTCTAGTCTTTTTAGTCTTAAATAATAAAATATTTTAGACTAGGTTGTCACCGTACAGCATTCAGTGTTGCAATGTATACATTAAATTGTAGTGTATATTTAGTCTTACTATTTAGATTTTTTTTTTCCGCCCCTTCATCTGTCCTTTGAGTACCCTGTGTTGCATTTCTCCCATTTGCCTCTTCTATTTTTTCAAATGAGTATGTCTTTCCAACCAACCATAATTGCAAAAATAGACATTAATATACAATTAAATGTAAATATAATATATAATGTGTAATTAAATGTAATACTACTTTGTCTTTAGGGTTTTGCAGCCTCCTGGGGGTGGATCCAGTAACTTATTTGGTGGTTATGAAGATGATGCTGCAGCATCAAGAAGACCTAATAAAATGGCCTCTAAAGTTTTTTCACCACCAGAAGAGACCCAGAATGTACCCAGACGCTCCAATCCTCCAGGTAAGTCCACCCTGTCAATGTCTTGCATGTAAAATAACACAAATAGTCCAATGAAAATTGCTGAATAGTGTCAAAATGTATCACAAACTTTACTATCACTTCAATTATGTGTAGGTGGGAAGACTAGTGGAATATTTGGTGACTCTGAACCGCCTGCTCAACCACAGAGGCCTGTACCTCCGGGTGGAACATCTAATGTAATATTTGGAGCTGCAGGAAGTGGACCTGAACAAAGTCCAAAAAAAACCCACCCTAACAAACCAAAGGTAACTTACACACAAACATAATTCTTATATTCTGTTTATTTTGAAGTATTTTTTACTTTTTAATTGCAGTGACTTTTTATATAGTGATTGTGTTTTAAAAAAAGTTGTTCACTGCCACTTGAATAGGGTCTATGTATCTTATTATTCTTTGTGTAGCTGAATGAGTTCCACTTACTGTATATATCAGCTCCCAGTGGTTGACAGATTGATATAGCGCACAGATTTTCTTGCTATTTAGTATAATTTGTGCAACTGCCACAAAAACATTCCAAATTAGACTATATATTATTTTCCTGCTGTTTGTAGTTCAATAACATTTTTTTGTCAATGATCATCCTGTTTTTACGTTGCTTTGAGTAGGACTGACTTTTAATTCAAATTAAATTAAGGCACTTGTTTTGTTTATCCTTTTGCAGGACAATCTGAGTGTGGGACCTGAACCTGAAATACCAGGTAAAATCTTTGCAGTCTCAAACGTTTTTTCTTCAGATATGAATTTTCAACATCTGGGTTGTTATTCCCTACTGACTAATGGTTAAAGCTGATGTCCCCCACCACCCCTTTATTTTAGCTCCTGAACCCAAGGTCAGTCCACCTGAGGTGAAGGTGGAAGTCCCCCCTCCAGCCCCTGTGCCGCCTAAAGAGCAGCCTGCTGTTGTGCCGGTCCCTAGCCTTACCTCCTCTTCCCCACCTCCTGACGAGACTATAATGAAGAATCACGAGCCTCACCTGGGACCCAAGCCTCGCTCCCACAACAGGGTACTCAACCCACCAGGAGGAAAATCCAGTGTTGTGTTCTACTGAGCAAATCTATACACCAGCACTCTGTCCTTTGTTTCCATACACTCCTAATCTGATCACCCATTGTTCTTCTCTCATTCCATTGTGCATCACCTTGCCGTTTTTCACCTTGAACATCTGAATGCAGACCTGGACTTGGCAGTTCTTCTCTTCAAGTTTTTCATTTAACCATGTCCTCCTCAACATACTCTTGCACTTTTGGTCCCACATCTGTTTTTCTTTCTCTTCATCCAATTATTGTTGTTGACTAAATCCTGCAATCATACAATCACCTTCTGGTCAACCAAAGGACCAGCAATTTTACTGCGATTCTGTCCAATTTCAGTATTACGGTTAAGTTTTCACCACATCTGTGTTAAAGCATTTGTTAGTGTTGTTTCATTAATTTTTTTCACCATCTGATTGGTTGACACATCAGAAAAAAGCTTTAAATTATTGTAGATTTAAATGTGTTTGACTAAAACAAATCTTCTTGCACAGACTAGTTGCAGACATTTGCCTGAAATAGTTTTAAAGCCTTACGTTTTTCAGACATTGGCTGTTGAAGAGGTCTGTCACCAGCTGAATGTTAGGTGTTTGTGGTGATGGGGCAGAGTTGCTTTTTATGTGCTTTCATTTTCTTTATTTGATGACAGCACAAGACTTTAGACTTTGACAATGACCTAATAAGCAGAGGCCTTGTACCATTTAATCATTCTTCGTACATTTTATTCCTTATTCCGTCTCTTCAGATTTAAATTTGCTGTCAGAACAAAGACTAAGTTCAGAGATGCCCCACAAATTATCCTCAATCAAAATTCCATATGGCGACGCCTGGATGCTTAATTCTTCCAAAAAGAAATTCCATTTTGATTGTGTGCGAATGTATTTTGTGCAGGTACTTTCTGCTTTGTCCTTGGCTTTGTTTGAGAACTTACTCTGTTTTTTTGTTTTGTTTTGGGTAGGCCTCTGTTTATGTTTTAAATTAAAACGGCTGAAGACAGTGAACTCTGGTCAAGCTGGTGTCCTTACCTGAGTTCAGGTGGGCTCACTGATAATCACCTTTTCACTCACCTCATGACACACACTCATGGTGTTCTGGTGCCGCCCTGTTCTCACTGTGTTGACGTGCCTGGCAGGCAACAAGCGTAGCAGATGAAAGGAAAAAAAGAACATCTGTGTTTTGCAATAAAAACGTTGTTTTGCATTAAGACTGTCTATCTTGTTTACCTTCCAATGGGTAATATACAGTGGAGGAATCTTCTGATGCTGTATTTACACACTGGACAGGGAGTGTTTAATATTGGACAAGTCTACTTTTTGTCACCGTTTTGCCAACTGGCTCATATTTTGGATATTTTTCCACTTTTTCTTTTTTTTTTACTTTTTTTTTATTAGATGTTATTTTAATTGTGCCTTGTGTTATTTTACTATGCACACAATTTTATTTTGTTTATAGATAGATTTTTAATTTTTTTTGTTTATAGATATAGATTTTTAAAATAAATAAAATCTGCCTAGTATTTGTTAAATATCAGACTGAGCCAGAAGACATGCTTTTCATGCTTCATTTTTGGTTAATTTTTTTAATCAGCCACACTGTTGCTTTTGTTTTCATTTGCCCTCTGGGCAAATTTAATTTTATGCCACAGGGAACACTGTTGAACTCTTTCAGCTTCAGTCAGAGAGGAGAGTGTGTTCTCTGTGTTAAGGGTCTGACTCTTCAGTCCATAATTCTAGTTCATGTCTTAATCAAAACAAATTCCACATTAGTTTGTGCTAAAGATGCAATAAAAGCATTTTTATAAGCTCACATACCATTTTCCTAAATTGAAATCAGTCAAAAAATATAGTAAATATATTAAAAATGTGCCTGTGTTGATGAAGTGATTCTCCCACTCTTCTGCCATAGTAGCCCCCAGAGCCATTGGAAGTCAAGATAACTGCACTCAAACGTCATGGAGACTGTTACACAGGTATGTACAGTATTTTGTGCTATCTTTGAACTGGTATGAATAGTCTCAGTCAAAGCAGCAGATAAAATGTTAACCTTATATTTACATACTGTTACCTAACAGGCACATTTGAACTGATCCTGAATGACTCACAGTAAACAGCAATAACAGTTTTTATTTTTTTAGGAACGCTGTAAGTCCCATAACGGAAATGGCCGTTGTCATTTATGCCTATTAAAGCAATTCAGGTAATTGTCTTCACAGTAAACAGCATTTATTGAAAGGAAATGCTGTATGTCTTTTTTATTCCAGAATACAACCTTAGTTTTTCTCATAAGGCATTTTGACTTGTGGTTTCAATTCAAAATGCATTGGTTTCAAATCAAACCAATGCAATGAAATATTTTAATAATTTATCACTACTATAAAAGTATTTACCGTTTATATAGAGTGCGTTGTCATTATAAAATAGTTGCGCCAAACACTGCAAGAGTGCGTTGTCATTATTATAAAATAGTTGCGCCAAACACTGCTGCTGCTAACGTTTCCGGTTCACCCTTCAAACTAAAAGTTACCAAATGCCAAAAGCGATCTCTAAGGACAATAATGTCTTTCTTTTACATAGAATTGAAAAAAAATGTCTAAGAATAGAAAGGTTACATAAATGGAATTCTCCTTTAGAATGTAATTTAACACTTGGCCACAGTGAAGCTGAGGTCATTTGATTGTACACATGATCCAGGACAAGGCTGTTGAAACACTACACTCTCAATGTCCCAATATAACCAAAAACATTGATTTGTCACAGCGGCCCTGTCCAGATTATATTTGACTCCTCATTTGTTTATTCCTTACTGTTCAATAAGCTTATGTTTGCATGAAATCAACTTTTTTTTTTTTGCAGGCTTGAAACCTGCCCTGTGTTGAGATTCCTAACATTCTGAGGTAATATAAGATATGTTACTATAGAACTGTAATGTAAAATATATATATAATTTAGATTTACTTTCCAGCAAGCTGTAGCAGTGAGTTTAATTCCACACACTAACTATAAATGGCAAAAAAAGTTGTAATAATGTGTTCATTGACGTTTTCTTATATACATATACACTTCTATAAACACACAGCTAAATCAAATATGTAGACCAGTGCCCCATTAAAGGATAAGGCTTCATTCAAGACTGCCAAATCACCATGCTGAGTATCACTTTAACAACCCATCGTGAAATAGATTAAAAGAAAACATTTTATATGTACGATTTATACCCTTCTGGAAATATCAAAAACCAGCACATTTGATATAAATCTGGACATAATTCACACAGTCAAACCCACACTCGATTGCTGTCTTTTGTATGGAAATTAAGTATTTGTTCTCGCAACTTCCTGTTGTTGCATGTCTCACTTGACAAACTGACTCAGTTCTTCTAATGCAGACGCTGTGACGTCACTGTAGTCGTCAGCTGAGAGAGAGAGAGAGAGAGAGAGAGAGAGCCTCTCCCATACACAGGGAGACATCACCACCATCAACGCCCGTGTCCGGTCAACAGCATCGAGCAGTGCACAAAATATGGACGAAACGATAGCATAGACGCTGTGAGCTATCGGCACCGATCCGAAGACTTGTGGATTGTTTTTTTATCTATTTATTTATTTATTAACGTATTTATTACCCCTGCGAGTCATGGCTGGGGTCCATGGCTGCGGTTTCTGAGAGGCAGGTGCAACATCATCATCATCATCATCCTCCTCCTCATCACCGACGAAGGCTTTTCTCTCATCGACATGGACGTAGTTTGGGCCGAACCCCAGGCGGGTCCACTAACCCACTGCTGCCCGGACCAGAGGCTGCTGTGCATCTGAGGAGAGCCAGAGTCGTGCCGAGGCAGTAGGAGACACAACGGGTTCCTGGTGGTTGTGGACTGGGAGGAGGCGGAGTAGAAAGGAGGAGGGGGGGCCTCTCTTTACATTCAAAAAATAGTGCTAATATTTCCACAGCCAAATGTTAATGTGTGTTCTGCTGCAACATGTCATCACTAGTTTTTTAATTATTTTAAGAGAAGACCGTGATTGAATGTTCCGCTTTCCTCTACGGATCCAAAACCTGTGACAGTCTCGGCTTTAAGGCCTAATAAAAAAAAAAACACTCATCTGGAAGAGAGACGCCAGGTCCAGCTGCCAAGATGATGGAGCTGCAGATAGACGAGGTGGTGTACCAGGACGACTATGGCTCCGGCACCGTCATGTCGGAGCGGGTGTCCGGCCTGGCCAATAGCATCTACCGGGAGTTCGAGCGGCTCATCCGGAGCTACGACGAGGAAGTAGTGAAGGAGCTGATGCCGCTGGTTGTTAATGTTCTGGAGAACCTGGACGCCGTGCTGACAGAGAACCAGGAGCATGAAGTGGAGCTGGAGCTGCTGAAAGAGGACAACGAACAACTCATCACCCAGTACGAGCGGGAGAAAGCGCTGCGCAAGCAGGCGGAGGAGGTGAGTGCCGCCCCGGCTGTGCTGGGGCCTCCACTCCGCTCCATCACATACACATCTGTGGTTCTTCAGAACCCGGAGGCTTCATTGCACATGTGACTCATTCATGTTGACACAGTGGGGAGGGTGATAATATCCTTAATGAAGACAACAGTTTTATGCTGTCATTTACTGTTAGAGGAAAAACCAGGATCCATTAATGTTGTAGTAAAAGGAATAGAAAGATCTACTAAACGTATAATTTGTGTATTTTTATACAGTACCTTAAGTACGTAAACTCACTTTTTAAAAAATAAACCAGTATTTAAATTAATTTTATGCCAAATTCAGAGATCTCCAATCTAACATGAAACTTTAATTTTTTTTATTGCCATGGAATTGCAGCCCGGTCAGGGTCCAAGGGCCAGTGGTTTGGCGCCTCTGCACTATTCTAATGGGCTTTATATTGTGGTCACTGAAAAGCAATGGCCCAACTGCCTCATCTAAAATATAGTCCAGAGATATGGTTACATTCAGCATGTCACAAGTAGTACTTGTGGTTATTGTTTAATAAAGGATAGTTCATGTTAATTGAGTTTGCTTAGGTAAATTTAACCAAAGTCTGTTTGCTTTGGAACTATAAGTTGACTCCACACTCCACAGCCTTTTACTGATTCTACAACATTTGTCACTGGTCAATACTGTCTAGTCATAGTAACAGTGGAAACACAGGAAAGGGACAAGAAAACAGAAACACTAAGTGGAAGTTGGTTACACATTTGAATAAGCAATTATTCCATTATTCCATTACACTTTTCCTGCTTCCAGTGTAACATATAATGAACCAAAGTTACTGATAAAATTGTAGAAAGCCTTCACTATGTTGTAGTTAATATTTTAAATTTCTTACAGGAAATTAGCCAACAAATAACTTAAGCTGAAGCCCAAAAAGTTCAGTAAAAGCTAGATAGCTGAGAAATGTCTTAAAGCAAGTTAAATTAAAGCAAAAATGACTCAAAATCTATGGCAAATTTTAAAATAATAAATACAGTCCTAGCAAAGGTTGTCCCAAAATATGCTCTAAAGTAGCTAAAAAATGAAGCTGAATAGTTTAAATATCCTAGATAATTAATCAAAATTAGACCAGACAGAGATTTAAGTACATGAAAACACAGCACAAATTCTACAGCCAGGCTCATTAGTAGCTAAGCTAAGGTCTCATTTCTAAATCTCAAAGCAGACGGCAAAAAACCCTAACCTCTGTTTTTTCACTGTTTCCTAATAAAGGGACACAGTCAAGCTTTAACGCAGGTGAAAGGTTTAAATGTGACACAGACTAGGCATTTACACAGTAAAACACAGTGAGAACGGGGGCGCGGACAACAAAAGTGGACATTAATATGGCGCTATTACATTACTGCCTCAACTCTGCCTCCAGCTACTGCATTTTTTTTTACCCCAACCCACTATATCTGAGCTGTGTCACTGCAACTGTGGGATCCAGCAGAGACCCCGGGACAAATTTAATCCCCCTCTCATTTACAGAGGCCTCAGCAGATCAGTGTTAGCATCTGCTGAAGTCAGCCTTTTATCCCCAGTGCTTACTCCTGTGCAGCTTGTCTAAATTGATACTGTTTTAATGTGGTAAAGCTGACGGATGTGTACAAAATATCAAATAGATTATTATTAGTGATTCTACTATATTTCTATTATCAGCAAAGTAACACAGCATCTTCAGTGTTACCTTATCTGCATGTTATATCAGTGTCATGTTAAAACACAGTTGGCCAACAACATACCTTGTGTGTTAAAATAACTAAATGCTACCATGTGTGAAGCACAGTTTAGCATTTCATGCTCACGCAGTAGAGGTGAAGAAATCAATGTTTAACACAAACGTCTTAACTTTACCAGCAGATGTCACTAAATTCTACACAATGTACCTTTAAATGGCAGGTACCAAAAGTTCTGGTCACGTATTTTCCTTTACGTATACAGAAGAAAAGTTACTAAGAGATATGACATATACAAATACCGTAGGTAGATAAGAATTTTTTTTTTTCGAAATTTGAATTAGTTAGATGTCAAGCAGCTAGATGCTTGTATATGTGGCACTGTGACAGACAACTCCCCCTGTATCACTTTAAAAGATAAATTAATGAATGAATGAGAATGCCTTTGTTACCTAGTAGTGAGTTGGTCAGAGAATACATTAAATAGTTTTTCTTTCCATCTTAAAAAAATGTTATTGCATTTATTTTTATTTTTAGAAAGTGCTCAAATTAAAATCCACACGTTTGCTCAACAGAGGTGAAACATTTGAACACCAGGAGACAGTTTCGTGTGACTATGACAAAACAGTACACAATAGGAGGAGGGGACCTGACGTGACGTGACACAGATGGGTGGGGAGTCATAGGAAATCAATAGTACTCTGAGGGAGCCTGGCACTGTAACCTGATTTGTGCAAATGAAGAGCTGAGGCAGAACAACAGAGGAGCAGAGAGGAAGAACTAGACTGAGTTTCTTTTAGAGCCGCAGTGTGAGTGTGAGTAAAAGCAGAGACCGGGTCGGACAAAGGCTGAAGAGAAGAAAAGCAGAGAGAGAGAGAGAGAGAAAACAACAATAACACACCCACTCACCAGATCTAAAAGAGTCTCAGATTACAAACAAAGCAAGCAGCTCTCTCTTTAGGCTTATGAAATACTTAAGAAGATTTACCGACTTTACTACAGTTTAAAGGGACATTAAAAGAAATATTGTTGTTGTTGTTGCATTCAGTTCCATTCCTGTTCTGACGCCTCCATCACTTTAGCCTTCACACCACTCAGCTTGGAGGCAGTAAATGGACCATCATCACTGCAGCATCCTCAGTCTGTAATTAAAAAAAAAACTGACAGATTCTCACCCTGCATGATATTCTCTTCATGCTGTTGTCACTTCTGACTGTTCTCATCCTTCATCACAGTGTAAACAGCTGCACATGTAACAGTGTTGGCCGTCGTTGACCTGTGGTTTGTCAGGCCACGCATTAGCTTCACTCAGTCATCACAGGCACTAACTCATGAATTATTCACACTGCACAACATCATTCCAGCTCACAAATCTCTACACTGAGGCGTCGTAACTTGTATAACACAAATCAAATGTCAGTTTTGAAAATGCACAAGTTATTTTTTAAGGTAAACACCATGTTGTTTTTTGTTTTGTTTCTTTACAGTGTATTATAAATTTCTACATTTCAGATGCCATCAGTCCAGAGAGTTTATAAGGTGTCTATTCCTCCAAAAACAGATGCATTTTTTAAAACCTTTTGTGTCTTTTTAAGGTGTTAACTTTTTTTAGCTAGGCAATTCTATCTTTTAGACATGGACACAGACATCGGTCCATCTGTTAGTAGACTAATTTTTCTTACTTTCAAGTCAAATCTCAGCGTCATCCTTATAGTTCCAAACCTGTTTAATTGAGCAGAGACAAGCATTTAAATCAACACTTATTTTGTGCTAAACTTTTGTCTTACCACCGTGTCTTTTCCTGCCTCAGAAATTCATAGAGTTTGAAGACACGCTAGAAGCCGAGAAGAAGGACCTGCAGACGCAGGTGGAGTTCCTAGAACTGCAAGGGAAACAGCAGGAGCTGAAAATGAAGAACTACGGTGACCAGAGTGAGTGGACATGGATTATAAACAGTACTGCAACAAATTCCTCACTGCACAGAGAGAGTATCCACTGCACATGGTTTGAAAAATACACAGGAGATAAAAAGAGGATTATAGGGTTTGAGGGGTATTTAATACGCATATGACAGTATATTGATTGGTCACATATGACAAATTGTGTGTGTGTGTAGTGGGCTCTTGGAAAGTTTAACTGTGTTATAATATTATAATATAATTACTAAATAATCTTAGCTTGATCAATTCAGAGTTTCTTGCTTCAGTCTGTCACACGTCTGTTTATCTGTCTGTCTGTCAGTCATCAGGCAGGAGGAGAGAGAAACAGACTTGAAGAAACAGTACAACACTCTTCATCAGCGCCACACTGAGGTGATAAAACAAAAGCACTCGACCACACATCACTTCGTTGTCAGATTCACTAAATGTAGCCCAGATGTGTCAAATTATGGCTCTGGGACCAATCGTGGCAGATTGGACAAATTTTCTTTTGGTCTTTAGCTTAACATTTAAATATTATAGCCTGTGCTTGCATTGGAAACAGTTTGTGTTTGTTTTTTTTTTATATTATATTTTTAGTGTTTCTCATGCTCCTCTGTGGAAACTACTTGGCTAACATTTAGCTATTATTCATTGTAGCTGCAACAAAATGTTACTTCCTGCTGCATTCTATTTTTTAGAGGCAATATTTTTTGCTAATCAAGTGAGACCAACATTTTCATGTCATTTGCCTTTAGCTGTTATTGATTAGCCTTTAGCTATAGCCACATTAAGCTATTATTTTGCTCACTTTAACTTGCTTTTGATGTGTGGAAAAACTATAATATTTCATGCAGCTAATCCTAAATGACCTTGTAATACCTTGTGAAAGACTTGAGAATTGAGAAATGAGAACAAGGGCAACTTTCTTCTCTTTTGTACTTATATTTTGTAAATAATTATTCACAGATGATTCAGACGTACTGCATAGAGCGCTCCAAAATGCAACAGCCAGGGACCAACAGCCAATCAGAAGGCCCCGGCTGTGGACGAACGTGAGTGTTTTTGCTTATTTCTCTGCGTGTCTTCAAACGTTTTCTTTCCCCATCCATTTTATTGTGGCTGGATGTGTCATGTGACACGTGTCAGTCATGAGACACGATGAGCTGCTCACAGAGCAAAGAGGAATCTGACGTCAGAGAACAATAGGAGCAGAAACATTTCCAGCTGAGGCACGAGTCCTGCATATATTTGTCTGTGTGAGAGACAAGGGAGTTTGTCGCAACATGTTCACTGTTCACTCGGTGTCGGGGTTTAAACTCAGCCGCAGTTTAAGAAATGCTATTGAAGCTGCAAAAAGATTCCTGTCGTGTTTGTGACATTTGTTTGTGCACTTTCATGGCTCACTGCTTGTTTCTGTCACCAGTAGTTTCTAATCAATGTGTGTGTGTCTGTCTGTCTGTGTGTGTGTCCTGCCGCTTGCTTTCTGTGCTGCTCTTCACATAGTCAACGTCACACATGGAGGAAAAGGTAACTCTAACTTGGTCCCATAGTTGCCTCCGCCCCCCTTCCTCCTCTCTCTGCCTTGACTTAACAGTGACAGAATGTTTTGCTATTTGTGAAATTTCAACACCTTGTGTCACGGGTCTCAAACACCGTCATTGTCACTAAAAACCGAACTGAACACTGAAGAATAGTTCTGAAGGACTCTGTGAGAACAGTTTTGTTATTGTTTTGTTTTAAGCCTCTGACTGTTGTGTTGTTTGTGTGATCACAATAGTTATTTTGTAAAAGATCTTGTGTTGAAAAATATATTTTTTAAATTTTACTCCAACTGCAGTGAATAAGAGCACTGGTGTTGATATTGATAAGAAGAAGAAATGCAGATACAGCATTGACTCTGAACCACAAAATACATGTAGTTTTTTGTCAAATTAAAAATTGTTATAAACAAGTTTTAATGCTGGACCGCAGTGTCATAAAACCATTAGCAGTTGTTGTTAAAATGATTAAATGCTGATTTTATTTAAATAAAAAAATACAAGGAATAAACACAGGAATTATAACACATTTTATGCTTTGGTAAAAACGGGGACATCAATGAGTCCTCCTACCCCCAGTTTGAGACCCGTGATTTATTCAAAAAAAAGATAGTCCTGCATGTGTTTGCCTAGACTCGGTACTGATGCTCAGCACCATGAACACTGCATCCTCCAACCACTCTAAGAACTAAGCGATCAGTCTCAGCTCAGATGTAGTCATTCACTCTCTGTTGTCCACCATCATCTTTGCTCTCATGCTTGTGTCTGACTGTAACGTCATCTCCTTGTCATTCTGTCCTGCTCGTCTGCCTACTCCTAATAAAGATGCTAAAAATGCTAATTTAAGACCTACATTTCAGCAGAGGTAGAAGAGTCAGTCTCACATTAGCCTCCTCCCCTTTGTTCTTTTCTCCACCTGCAGCAAAGCGGAGCGCCCACCATCGTTGAACCTGTACACCAGTGGAGAGGGAATGGTACGTGGGGGTACCGGGGGGGCTAGGATGATGCCCGGGAAAGACATCTGGCAGGTCAGCGAGCTCGGCCCGTCTCCCTTCAACTCTGCCTATCAGGTGGGACAGACGGTGGCCGAGTCCTTCTCTACCACGGCCAGTAGTGGAAGAAGGAGTGGTCAACCTCACTGCTCTCTGTCCTGTTTACCTCACGCAGCGCCTCCCCTCTGCCTGCTTGTGTCACTTTAGTGGAGGAAATGTTTTATTTTCCTTGCTTCAATTAAAGCATTACATTTGAAAGTCAGAATTCCTAGTTGTATGGATTTGACTCAAGCAAGCTGGGAAACCTCTGTCCTACTTTTGTTTGTGTTTGTGGAGCTTCTGTCACTTTCATTGTGTTTTATTGTGAACTTGAATGACCTTCTTTAGCATTATTTCTATGGTTTGTTTTTTTTGCACATTTTAAGCATTTTTTGTATGTTAGAAACATAGGTAAGAAGAGGTAAGTAGATCAGAGGTATTAGTCGCTTTTCTTGTTGTGGCTGCGCCTCCAAATGATGTATTTGACCCCTTTCAAATAGATCAGAAAAGCTAAATGGAACTCAGCCATTAATAAATATTTACATTTGTGTTTTTTTCTGCTGTGACCTATAAAAACTGTGTTTTAAATTTGTCCTAAAAATACAACGTAACTGTATCTAAGACAAAAGTCAAATTTAAGTCTTGCTTTGAAAAACCAAAAAAGATCAATATTGGCATATATTACAATTTTATTTTTAGTTACCATAAAGTCATCACTTTAAATAAAGTAATCGTAAATGTATATTAGTACATATCATTAGTAAATATCAGTAACATCCAGGTTTGATATGGCTTCCTTGTCTGACCCTACTGCTGTTGTCTCAAACTGCTACCCTGTCCAACAGGAGGACGAATCAGAGTCCGACTCGGTGGTGGTAACACTCAGCAGCCCAGGGAGCAAGTCCAACACACCCACCTCCTCTACCCATTCCGCCACCGTCACCCCCATCAACGAAGGCTTTCTCCCTAACTCTGAGGTTGAAGGGATGCGGTCCGGGAACCACAGGAAAAGTGCCAAACGGCTGAGCCGGAATATGGAGGTGCAGGTTTCCCAGGAAACCAGGAACGTCAGCATTGGTAAGAAGGTGTGAATGAATGTCTCCTCGGGTCAGAAGAGCAGCCGTGGTGTGACTCTACTGCTGTGTGTTGTTACAGGAATGGGGAGCAGCGATGAGTGGTCGGAGTTTCAGGAGATCATTGATTCCACTCCTGAGCTGGACATTCGTGTGGACCACCGCATGTACGGAGGAGGAAACAGGTGCGTCTACGCTGTGGATCACCAAGAGTCAGAAAAATAACATTTTATTAGATATTTATATTAAAATATTAAAGACTTGGTTCTGTTCAGATTTACTTTAAGTGTGTCATAATTCACAAAAGAAATCTCGGAAACTTGAAGGAATAAAACACAGTTATGAAATGTTGTTTAGGTTAATTCCAAACATGCTCATCACCTGCATACTGGTCTGGATCCAAATTATTATAAATATAAGTCAAGAAGTTCAAAGACAATTTGAAATAAAACATATTTATGATAATAGCAAAACCTTTTTTTCAGAGAATTCCTTCTTTGTGGAATTTAGGGGTACCTCAAACCTTTAGCTCACAGATATTTTCTTAACACATACATTTTAAGATGTGACACCCTTGAAAATTTTAACATCTGTTTTATTTTATTTTGTAATGTTTATTATCTTTAACAACATTTTCTCATATTTTATTCTCTTTCAATCTTGAAAAGGTATTATTATTGATTCATATAAAGGAAGAATTTATAAAACTACCATTGTAGTGGTCTTACACTTTTACCTGTATTTTAGCCCCACCCAGGGAATTGTGAACGAGGCCTTTGGCATCAACACCGACTCGCTCTACCACGAGATCAAAGACGCCAAGTCGGACATTATCGGAGATGTAGATGCAGGCGCCGAGTTGTTAGGTATGAGCTGGACACTGACAGAAGTGACATTTGTTTTGGTTTTTAAATATCGTTATCTTGTGGCTCTTGGTCCATGTGAAACAGTAGAGTCACAGTTTGAGACTGAGACTTTTCTCAGCCAGATTACCTTATGAAACAAGAAAGTAGAATCCACGGGTTGCATGTGAGCCAAGTTGGCGTCTGTTGTTGCTGTTGTGTGTTACTGCAGGGCAGCAGCAGGTCACTGTTTGTTATTGTGCTGTTGCACTGATTTTAACCCTGCATGAAGCCCGGGCTGCAAAAAACCTCATCACAGCAGCTCATGTCATTGTTACCCAGTCACACCTGCCCCCTGATTTTATCCTTAAGTTTATGACCTGCATTATTTCATGTAACACCAGATCAGGGGCAGAAATTAGGGGGAGGAATTTTTTTTTATTCTTATGCCCCCTCTCAGTTCATATAGTTTATTAAATCAAACCACAGGTTTTATTATTTTATTATTGTATTTTCTGATCATTGTTTAACTTCTATTAGTTAGTGTTGAATTGCTCCTGATTCTTTAACAGAAGAACTCTGAAGCCAGCTTTGACCCATTGTCCTGTTCATCTGTTAACTTCTCACGCATTTCTGTTGTTTTTCTTTCTTTTATGTGCTTCTGCTGGTGACACCATAGGCGAGTTTTCAGGTGTGTATCTGAACATGCATTGGTTGGTATATCTTTTTTTGTTTCATACTCTCAAACTCTAAAAGCTCTAGTCTGTAAAGAAGATATGATCACTAGAATGGAATGTGGCTGTAAATATATAAATATATATTTTTTACCTGTTCAGTACTATTTTAGCATCTCTAAAAGTAATTTCTTTGCACCAGAACTTTTTAACAATTCTAATCATTTTTATTTTCTGGCCAACATTCAAAAGCTGCAGTCTTCTATTTCATATATTTTAAGTTTCTAAGCATAGAAATAGAATTTGTGTGCATGATCAAAATTTAATTACTCATTATCTGGATTTTAAAACATCTACTTTTTTAAGGACAAGCTGCTTTTCCTCAAATCCATGTTAAATTATTACTTATCGGCGTATCCTCTCTTCTCTTCTCTGCCTCATCATTCTGTCTGGTCTTGGCTTTTCACCTCCTTCCTCCCTCCTCTCTTCTCCCTGTCTTTTTCTGGCTCCAGTCCGTGATGATTTCTTCGGTAAGGCGCCCCCTTGCCTGCACTTTTGGACGCATTTGCTTGCTATGTCATTTCCTGGTCTCTGAGCTTTCACGCCCCCTATATGTTCTTTGGTGCTGCTTTAAAATTATTCTTCAACAAGAATAATGTCGTCCCATGACAGTTTAACTTCTCTGGATCTCTGACAGTCTTATGCAAAACCTCAGAATAATTTGTATACATGTAAATTGCATTTAAATATAACCCCACCCCTTTGATTTGGTACTTGTGTGTTTTATTGTACCAGTGTCATGTGTTGGCATTTCTGCTTAAAGTTTGTCAGCTTGGCTTATTCTGCACACTGCCTTTCAGTTTGGCTCAAGTTCAGATTTGATTTAATATGAACTCACCTTTTTAGTCACAGATTGACAATATCATTTACTTTGAATATTCCGTGTGCGTCTGTGGAGTGGAGCAGTATACTCTGTACTGTGATGTTGTGTTTTTCCAGTCAGGTCCATATCTGGGCTACACTGTCTTTCTCAGGAAAACAAGAAAAAATATTTTTCTTTTCAGTGTTTTTTTTGTTCATATGTCATGTATAGTATATAGTAGGTGAAGAATATAATTGAGTTACGGTTTGTTTTGTTATGACAACGACGGTGATGATGATGATGATGATGATGATGATGATGATGATGATGATAAGTAACATGTGTATTCTGAATGTGATTGTTTCAGGGATGGGTAAAGAGATGGAGAACCTGCTGACAGAAAACAAACAGCTCCTAGAGACCAAGTAAGCGCCACAGAGAAAGATGAAGTGGTTTGTCCGAAGTTCATCTTCACTTTTACATGTTCATTCCCACGGTCTCTCACTTCTTCCCTTGTGTTTCTGCCCTTCTCGCCACAGAAATGCTCTCAACATCGTGAAAAACGACCTTATTGCCAAAGTGGACGAGCTGTCGGGGGTGCAGCAGGTGCTGCGGGAGGAGCTGGAGGCTGTGAGGCAATCAAAGAACAAGGTGGACGCCAGAATCAAGGAGCTGGAGGAGGAACTAAAGAGGTGAAATCACCAAGGCTTTTGTCTGTGAAGTTTATCAAACAAACTGTGTTATTTACTGACGACTTTTATATGTTTTCATATCGATTGTAAAACACGAACACAAATGACAGAGGTTGTACGAGGGTCTTCTTCAGGACATGTGACAGTTTTTACCTCTGTTACAGGTTAAGAGCAGAGGCTCTCAGTGCGTCTCAAGACTCAAAGGATGAAGGAGGTGACGATGTGAGTGAATTTGATCCTAAAATTTTAAACTTCTTCAGTACACTACTAGTGGCGCTTTGGCCCAGAGGCAAGGTCTCTGTCATTGGTGTGGAACCCCAGGGTTCACCTCCTGGGCAAGTTCGAATCCCTGTTAGGGCGCTTAATACCTTTCAGGGGACTCACCACCCGCAGGAAGGTTTGGGGGGTTGGTATGGTGGAGTGTGATTTGGGTGGCGACTGCTGCCCCCGCGACCCGGTAACGGATAAGCGGATGAAAATGGATGGATGGATGGATGGATGGACAGTACACTACTCCAAGTACTTTTTTAAAAAAAATCCCAGCATGTTGTTAAACAACCTTTTGACTTTTATCTGTTTCGGCTCCCAGTTCTCATCACCCATGCAAGACGGCGACATGACAATGACCCACAGGCGGCGATTCACCCGGGTGGAGATGGCACGCGTGCTGATGGAGAGAAACCAGTACAAAGAGAGGCTGATGGAGTTGCAGGAGGCCGTACGGTGGACAGAGATGATCAGGTACCAGCACAGACAGATGATCTGCACGTGAAATACGTATCTGCATCTGTGTGACATGAAACCGGTTTTTGTTCCTTTAAGGGCGTCTCGGGAAAGTCCTCCAAACCAAGAGAAGAAGAAGTCCACCATCTGGCAGTTGTAAGATTCTGGTTCTTCTTTATCTGAAAATTAACCAAAAAAAAGAAACCAGACATTTTCTTCATCTTCTCTTTGTTCTCCCTCCGTGTCCTCCAGCTTTTCACGTCTCTTCAGCTCATCGTCCAGCCCCCCGCCCGTCAAGCGACCATACTGCGGCGTCAACATCCATTACAAGTCGCCCTCACCGGCCGGCTTCTCTCAGCGACGCAGTCACACTATGTGTCAGATCTCCACCTCCAACCGCACCCTGGAGTTCTTCCCTGAAGAGTGAGCAGCAGCGTCATAACTTCTCTCACACTGATCTTTGTTTGACACTCCTGCTCTAAAGGAACTTCACTGCTTCACACTCTGCTTCCTGCTCGCTGTTGGCAGCTTGGAGAATACTATGTTAATATCAGCTTGTAAAAACACTCAAATGTCCAGACATAAAGTAAAAATCACACAGTTTGGTTAGCACATGCATTTGCACTTTTGACCTTTTTGGCCAATATCAAACCCTTTTGTTTCCAGCTCCACTTCTTGAACTTAAACACACTTGGTCTTAGCAAAAAGTTCCTTTCTTTAAAAAAACAAACAAAAAAAAAACAGATCAGTTTTAGATCTATCAGTGGTCTTTTTTTTAACCCAGGCTTTCTGATGACCTTGGACCTTTGACTCACTGCTTCTGCTCTGTTTGAACCTGTCTCTCTGCCTCCTGATGCTGGCTGGCTAGGCTGCTAATGCTTCGCTCTCTCTCTCTCTCTCTCTCCCTCCCCTCGCTCCTCTTCGTTGCTTGCAGACTGGCCAGTAATGGTGTTGCGTCTCTCCTCAGTGACTCTGCGCTCGTGGCTCGCCGAGAGCAACGGCGTGAACAGTACCGGCAGGTCCGCGAGCACATGCGCCGTGACGACGGCATCATGCAGGCCTGTGGCTGGAGTGTGCCGTCGAAATTCAAACAGGTACAGGTCGACTCAAACCAAAAGTTCAAATCCTGACCTGGCCAGACTTGATGTACTTTTAACACAAAAAGGGAAAAATAATACTTTTTTTATTATTATTATTTATTAAATTATTTTGTATGTTTAAAAAATAAATAATAAAAGGATGACATTTAAGTAGGACAGAATAAAGCAAAACCTAATAAACTATAAAAAGGTGTGAATTAAATAGCTGGGAATAAAAATAACAGAAATTCTCTAATGTCACTGTAGTTTACTACACTGTAAAATATCATACAGTAATCTCAACTCAAGAATATACATATTTACAAGTGAAACTACTGCTTCATAGTCCTGTAAAATCACCACACTGAGAGAACATTAAACCAGCTGTTTGATTATTTGTTTATGACGTAGCAGTCGAAAGAATTCAGTAGAAATCCTGTCTGAGGCAGAACAGAAATCCTAATCCTTAATTAATAAACAAAATCTCTGATATTTGTGCTTCTGGAGAATTCTTGTTTCAAGAACCTTCAGTTCTATGGTGAACTTTTTCTTCATCATTTAACAGATATTTAACTTGGGTGATGATTCTCACCAAGTAACTAACATTATTGTTGAAAAGAAATCCTAGAATTCCTACTTTTCTTCTAATCATTTAAATCGACACGCTACACTTAGTTAGGCAAATTTCCAGGTTAAATCCCCTGTGGTTCAAAGGTCAAAAAAGGGGCAGTGTGTTGATAGGCAGGTGGCTCTAACTTTGGTCTCCCACAGACTGGTGGTCAGATGGACAACGCTCAGGACAACCCACTGAAGAGACAACAGGCAAGTGAGACTAATCAGAGTGTCCGCATGTGCCATTAACCCCCCCTCTAAAAAACCCAAACCCCAGTCAGCAGCAGCAGAGAGTTAAAACCTGCTCAGCTCAGCGCTTTGTCCGACTGTGCGGGGGAGCCAACCCTGAGAATGCATGAAAAGGAGATGGATTTTTGATCATGAGGCATGGTGTGAGTCCGCCTCCCTGTGTTTTATACAACCCAAAGAAGAGAAACGACGACTCTGTTAGGTTGACATAAGTATATTTTTTCTTCCCTCCTGACAAAGTTTATTTTAACTTTTAAAAATACTAAATATGGCCTGAGACTTACTGCATATGTTCTATTAAAAACAAAAACTAGAAAACAACAATCAAGTCTCCACCACTGATAAGTTTTCTTTCACTGACTGCCTTTTACTGTATGTGGTGTATGTGTATTTTTTTATCCAGTGACCAATAACGATGAAGATGAACTAAAAGACCAGACATAATTTTGTTTCTTTGCTTATCACAAAAAAAATGTATTTCTTGTTTCCTTTTTATCTTAGACCGTTACTGAAAAAGATGATAATCGCATGAAGAATGTACCTGTGCCAGTTTACTGTCGCCCTCTGGTGGAGAAAGACCCCAACAGGAAAGTAAGTATTAGAGATACTCTTACACAAAAATTTTCTTTTCAGTCATTCAAGACTGAAGTCATTAGCAGAGTTAGCGTGACCTGGCCTTGGTGAAGACTGAGTCCTTAAATATATCACTATGTGCTAGCAGAGGGCTAACACATTGCTTACATGTCAAGTGCTAGCACAGTACTAACATTCACTCCTACCCACTGTCTCCTAACTGCTGTAAACTCTCTGTTTATCAAGAGCAACTTTATAGGATGAGGTTTACATCAACACTGATTGGCACCAGTATATTTAAATCAATTAATGGGGCGTTTAAAAGTTATTTAGTACCACCTGCAGGACAAGGAAGGCAAGCTGCATGCTCAATGTTGACCAGCACAAAAACCTTATTAATTGCACAAACCCCATTGTGTCCCCTGTAAAAGTAAGTGAGTTATCCTTTTGCTGTGTGTCTATGTGCGCGTACAGTTGTGGTGTGCAGCGGGAGTGGACCTGACAGGGTGGAGAGCCTACAGTCAGGAGGCGCTGCCAGTCAAAGGGTCATCAGGCAGCAGTGACCCCCTCCACGCTGACGAGAACGGGGCTGGGAAGAAGAGCAACCACGCTTCTCCAGAGAAGAAGAAGGTGAAACACATACGGTGTCTGTACGAGGTTTTCAACATAGGGTGCGCAATGCTTATGGGGTCTGTGGAGATACTGTAGTGGTGTAATGTAATTTTTTAATCAGAAAATTTTGATTTAATTTAATTTAAGATACTGTAAAAATGTAATTTTTTAATCAGAAAATTTTGCGCATGGAAAATAGGTGTTGACAAAACAAGCTGTGTATAATTTGAAAAGCTTTGTTTCTCATGCAAATCAACCAGAGACCTCTATAAAGGAGGACTGTCTGTCCTCCCTGTTGTCATGACAGCACTGTCTCCTCTCTGCCATGTCTCAGTCAAAGGAGCTGCAGGAAACAGACACCATGAGCAGTCGCGTGTGGATACTGACCAGCACTCACTCAGCCAGCAAGGTGGTCATCATCGACGCCAACCAGCCAGGCTCACTGGTCGACCAGTTCAACGTCTGCAACGCTCACGTGCTCTGCATCTCCAGTGTGCCAGGTGCCAGGGATCAAGATGATTCAGCAATCTAACATTTGTGATCTGTTAACATACTTTAGTTTGAGAACCACTGATATAGAGAGTGTCATGGCAATAGGAGCAGTGTGTAACAGCAAACGTGTGTGTGTGTTTGTTTGTTTTTCTGCCTAGCTGCCAGCGAGAGCGACTATCCCGCGGGAGAAATTGTGTTGGATCCAGGCGATGGCAGCGGTGGAGGTGAGGACAGCGGCAGCGTGGAGGGCATGTTGGCTGGGATCACGCTGGTCGGCTGCGCCACCAACTGCAGTGTGGCCCGTAGCAACTGCTCCTCGCGCACAGACACTCCCATAATGGACAAAGGACAAGGTGGGATCGCCAGGAATGCTCCCTCATCCTTGTACTGTTGTAGACAGATGTGAGGACGATGCAGTTGTCATAAACCTGATCTCTGTTGAACGAAGTCAGAATTCAACCTTTTTTTCCTGTAGAACAACTATTTAAAGATCTTTTCTCTCTTGGTCTTTGTCTTGAATCTCTCCCACTGGTTTCACACTTGACTACCTCCACTTCTGCCTGTCATGTTACTTTTGACTTCTTCATATCTTGACTTGATATCATCTAATTTCGTCAGCTCCAACTGCTCCGCCCGTAAACGGGAAGATTCACCCTGCACAGTCAGCTGAAGAAGCCACTGAAGCCACGGAGGTCCCCGAGTCAACGCCCAGTCACACAGAGATGAGACATCCGGGGCCGTTCACCGAGCACGTCTTCACTGATCCACAGCCTCGTCCCGCCGACGCTTCTGACAGGTGAGACATTACTGTGTTGCCCCGACAAGACAATCATCTGGATTAGGAGTGTGTGATTAGTTGATAAGGAATCTAAACACATCTGAGTGTTTTGTGATTTTCTTTCTGTCCACTCAGAAGTGCAGGTCAGTCCAAAGAGGACACATCACACCCTCCGGAGACAGAGGATGGAGGCGATGAAGCCAAAAACTACACTAGTGTTGCTCCAACTATGTGGCTTGGAGCACAGAATGGATGGTGGGTGGTTTTCTGCGTTTTTCTTTTTTTTCCACTTGGTGAACTGTATCTGTCTGGACTGACACATCTGACATCTCTCTCTCTCTCTCTCTCTCAAGGCTCTACGTCCACTCAGCTGTTGGAAACTGGAAGAAGTGTCTCCACTCCATCAAACTCAAAGACTCTTTGCTCAGTCTGGTGTAAGTTATGATGGTGGTTTTTTATGTGGTGACATGGGATTTTTGTAGTTTTGACATGAATCTCATCAGAGCTCGTTTCTTTCTCTGACTACAGACATGTAAAAGGTCGCGTGCTGGTCGCACTTGCTGATGGAACCCTCGCCATTTTCCACAGATCAGAGGGTTAGTGGGATTTTATAACAAATGTGCCCATTTTAAATCTTTAGGAATATAAGTATTCTTTTTTTTTATTTCTGAATCATTTGCTAATTTGTAGATGTTTGTCTAGCCAACCAATCGCTTTTGGTGAAATGAAAAACAAATGAGGCAACTTTTTCTAGCAAATAGCTAAATTTATCAAATACATTTTTATTTTTAATTGTCTCCTGCTATATGTAGCTAAATGTTAACCATTGGAATTTGAAGTCAATTAGGCTTCACTATTCAAACTTTTATCCTTTTCATCAAGACAGTTTTTAGTTATTGTTCAACAGCCTATTTATTTGTTTTGGATATTTCCATGAATTGTGTACAACCTGTTTGTGTGTTGTGAGCAGACGGTCAGTGGGATCTGTCCAACTACCACCTGATGGACCTGGGTCGGCCTCATCACTCCATCCGCTGCATGGCTGTGGTTCACGATAAGGTGTGGTGTGGCTACAAGAACAAGATCCACGTCATCCAGCCCAAGAGTATGCAGATTGAGGTGACGGACGAATCCACCCAGTTCCACTGTCTACACTCACCTTCATGATGTTTGTCTGATTTTTTTATTAAAGTCATTTTTCTTCTGTTTCTTTGTCATGGTAGAAGTCCTTTGACGCTCATCCTCGCAGGGAGAGTCAGGTGCGGCAGCTGGCCTGGATCGGTGACGGTGTGTGGGTGTCAATCCGTCTGGACTCCACGTTGCGTCTCTACCACGCGCACTCACACCAACACCTCCAGGATGTGGACATTGAGCCTTATGTCAGCAAGATGCTGGGTGAGATGAGGGTTTGTTTGAAAGAGATCAAGTAAATTTCCTATTTGGAGTTTTTATGGTGAAAAGTGATTAATTGTTATATTAACTCTCAGGTACTGGGAAGCTGGGCTTCTCTTTTGTACGAATCACGGCTCTTCTGATTGGTGGGAATCGACTTTGGGTGGGAACAGGAAATGGTGTGATCATCTCCATCCCCCTGGCAGAGAGTGAGTTTAAATATGTTTAATTAGATTCACAACAAGGAATACAGAAAATGTGCTAAAGTTTTAGAGTTCTGTATTTTCCGGAGTATAACTTGGACCAGCCAGCTTTAGTGCCCTCTAGTGGCTGTCAGTGTATAAATAACAAACATGGAATACGGTTATTTTTCTGTAAAACATTTGTGTTTTACAAATGTTGTGTTTTGTCTGTGTCTTGTAAAGCATTTGTATTTTATAATTTTATAAACACAAATGTAAAACATGTTTGTGTTTTACATCTAAACCTGCATCAGTTTTAAATTAAATGTGCATGGACGAGGTTGTCGCCATGCTCAGAGAGTACGCTGAGTTTAAAGTCTGTAAAAAAAACTCACTCTACCTCCTTAGTATTCTCCTCCATCTTATTCTCCCTGTAGATCCCTGACTTTTTATTCCAAACATTTTATCCTAAACTTTCTCCCCTCCTTCTTTGCCCCAATGGTTTCATCTCCTTCTCACTGTCTTGGCCATAACTGTTGCTGTCACTCCTCTCTCTCCTTTGCCCTCCCCCTACTCCTCCTCCTATAGCCGTGGTCCTTCACCGTGGACAGTTCCTGGGTCTAAGGGGTAAGTGGGCATCCCCCCCCCCGACCTTCTGTCTATGGAGTTATTACCTTCTCTTATTCTGCTCTCACCTGATCACACCCTCATGTAGAAACTACAGACTTTCTTCAACTGTTGACAGATAGAAAAACTCTGTGGAAATAGTGTTTTTACACATTGGTTGGTTTGCATGCTGTTCATTATGGTGATTTTGACTGATGACCTCACTGTTTAGACACACTATGTGCTTGTCCAAACTTCTGCATGGACCAACCTAGGTTCTTCTCTGTGGTTTTAAAATCTTTGGTTGAAATGTGGATTTATGGGGTTTTTTTTATAATACAACACAAGATATGATTTTTCACTCCTAGTTTCCTCTTTCTATCAGCAAATAAAGTTTCTCCGACATCGGCCGGTGGAGTGATCCGTGTGTACGGAGACGACGGCTCTGAAAAGAGCAACGGCAGCTTCATCCCGTACTGCTCCATGGCTCAGGCTCAGCTCTGTTTTCATGGACACAGAGATGCTGTGAAGTTCTTTGTCTCCGTACCAGGTAAGGACAACATCAACAACAGTTTAATGGCTGCTTTGGGATTTAGAGACTTATTACTAATTTATTTATTATTTAATTTGACTTAATCATTACATTTTAAGCAAAATGGTCATTACATTTCTGTGGCCACGTCTATTTGATTGATGTGTTTGTATTGTATTTTTTGGCTGACTCTCACTCTCTAGTTTATTTGAATGTATAATTTATTTTTGCAAACTCTCGAAGTTTAACTAAGTTATTTGTCTGTTTGGTCTTACTGAATATATATATATATATATATATTATTCCCTTTTCATGATTAAACTATTTATTTGTCATCTTATTGTGAATACTATTTTTTTAATCTTGAGCTTTTTCTCAGTTAATAATGTATTTATTTGTCTTTTTAATAACATAATTAGTTAAAACTTAAGGCCAGTTCTAGTTTTATTTGAATGTATAATTTATTTTTGCAAACTCTCGAAGTTTAACTAAGTTATTTGTCTGTTTGGTCTTACTGAATATATATATATATATATATATTTTTTTTTTTTAAGATCAGTTTATTTTGGACATATTTGAACTATTTCTAAGCCCAAATGTCTTGTCATGTGATGTTGGCTTTCTACTAGTTACTGGTTAACTAATATGTAATCCATCTACTGTTTCTTTGCACGTGTAGCTCAGAAATATGAACAATGTCATGATGATATCTGTATCTTACCGCTGTAACTGCTATGGTTTGAACCTGTTTTTGTGTGCGCTACAGGCAATGTTCTGGCCACTCTTAACGGCAGCGTGCTGGACAGTCCATCAGATGGACAGGGCTCCACAGCGCCCCCGGAGACAGAAGCCCAGAGTGTTCACAACGTGCTGGTGCTGAGTGGAGGAGAGGGTTACATAGACTTCCGTATAGGTGAGTCATCAAACCTGCAACACCTAACACCTGAAACTACAGACATGCAACAACCAGATGATCATCAGCTGTTTGATCAGACAACAAGTCAGAACACGGGTTTGACAATGGTCAAACAGCTGAAGGCAAATTGTCTTCTCTCTTCGTAGGCGATGGAGAGGACGATGAGACAGAGGAAGGGGAGAGCAATGGTTCAGCATCACAGGTGAAACCTGCTCTATGCAAAGCTGAGCGGAGCCACATCATCGTGTGGCAGGTGTCTTACATCCCTGAGTGACACCCATAATTTGCTTAAAGACCTGCGAAACCCAAACCACCTCCTCCTCTGGTCCCCGAAACCCTTCCAGCCACCTACACCTTGTAATTATCCCCCGATAAAGAAACGTTCCCTTCGCTCTAAAACGACCTTCCAAGCTGTGTATTGTTCCTTGTAACTATTATATCCCCTCCTGCCCCAACACAGTGTAACTAAAATGCCTTGTAAGTACCTCCTTTGATCTGATAGTTAATCTGCCTGTCCTCCTCTGTCTCACCCAGAGCACTGTAAAGCATCTCCATGAGCTCTGTAACCCAGCTGTATATCTACCTCCCCCCCACACCTCCTCCCCATATCATTCTCATATCCACCCTGTAAGCACACAGTAACTACTCCTACATTTACCTCCATCTCCCTGCATTCCTTTGTCTTCACTGAGGTTTTATCATCTGTCAAACCTTCCGTTACTCTGAGAGCAAAGCCCAGAAAACCAAACATTAAACTTATCCACTAAATCTAGGAACGAACAAAAGAATTTCAGCCAATCCATGAGTCAGTTACATTGTGAGGGCGTTATTACATGTCAGTAAAGGTGCTCTATAATACACAGGAACCATGTTTCTGCATTAACATCATCGTGATTGGTTCCAGTCTTTGCATCTGTTAAAATGTTAAGAAAATGCTATACAAAAAAAAAACAAAAAAAACAACTCAATGTGAACCCCATGAGAAGTCAAAGTGGCTACATGTCAACATTCATACTGAAATCTGGATTTATCTTGACTGTGTTTTCAAAGTATCCTTTTCAGGGCCAGTGTTGTTATTGCCCCCAGAATATGTGGACTGTGAATCAATGTTCAGGCAAATGATGTTTAGTCCAACTGTTTGATGTGAGCCCGGCAAACAGAGGTGTGAGTACTGGGTTATTGTAAATTTGCAGGAATATCCACTCTCATACTATTTGTTCATAACGAATGTCATGCATTGAACTTTAGCTGTGTGGATTAAATATTAAACTTATTGTGCGCTAAAATAAGTGACCCCGTGAGGTGTGTGTCCCAAAAACAGTAGAACGTGGACAGATCTAAGTGACTTTATGCACTTAATTTTTAAATGTAGAATATAGAATATATTTTATTTATTATTAATCTACCACAGAAAAAAGGGTCACTTTATTAAAACATTTTGGAGCAATTATTTTTTTGGCACTTTTCAGGCAATTATTACTATTGTATGTTGGTTTGGATCTAGATCTAGAGTGACTACCTGTCCCGCTTTACGTTGTATTGCACAGCAATTGTAGCCTTTATTCCCAGTGTATTATAAATTAGTGTATTTTTAATCTAAACTAACTAAAAATACACTCATTTGCCTTAAAATACTTAACTATGTCCATTTCTGTGGTTAAAATTCAGAAAAAACACACTTTTTTTGTACGCTACCTTTTGATCACAGTTAAAATACTAGACCAATAAGATCATGAACAAATCTCCGGAAAAAAAAGTTTCTCAAAAATGACTAAAAATACACTCATTTGCCTTAAAATACTTAGCTATGTCCATTTTTGTGGTTAAAATTCAGCAAAAACACACTTTTTTGGTACGCCACCTTTTGATCACAGTTAAAATATTAGACCAATAAGATCATGAACAAATCTCCGGAAAAAAAGTTTCTCAAAAATGACTAGAAATACACTCATTTGCCTTAAAATACTTAGCTATGTCATTTTTGTGGTTAAAATTCAGAAAAAACACACTTTTTTGGTACTCCACCTTTTGATCACAGTTAAAATATTAGACCAATAAGATCCTGAACAAATCTCCGAAAAAAAA